CAAATAAATGCTGTTGACATAGCTTAAGCATGATAGCTTGGAGTAACAGCTGATTCAAACTAGATTCATCATTTTAAATTAAGGACAAATACAATCTACAATGTAAACAAAGTATAAAATAAATTTTTCTAGGAAATGAAATCATCAATCTATTATTTTTAAGGTAGTTGTAAGCTAAAAGTTATCAGAAATCTTGGTAGAATTTTCATTGCCAAATTGAAATTTCAGAACGTCCAGTTACAACACTGTCACCACCATCGTAGGACTGATAAAACTGCGGACAGCTGCTCGTACCCTTTTCAGTGTGACTTTTTAATTGGGCTTGGAGATTTGTGAGAAGATGCAATGTCTTTCTTACTCCCAAAGCCCTTCCAAGTGATTAGCTAAAGCAATTTCAGTTGATTTGGACTTTCATATAATTTTTGAGTGCTAAAACTCTAGAACAGCTAAATAGATGATTTCCTGCACAGATGAATGCAGACTGGTCTCTTCTGCAGCAGGGCTAAAAGCGTACAGCTAAAGTTGTTTTTCATCACACTTCACTATGACGTTGGAATTCTGTAACCACATTATTACTCAAGAAATATATAGTATATCTCCTAGGGAATCTAATTTCAAATATGGAAAGTTTATCAACATCAGCTGCCATTATGTGTCTCTTTTCCATTCATTAACCAAAGAAAAAAAAGAAAAAAAAAGCCCAGCCATTTGCTTTAGCTTTCGTCCATCAATCACATTATCTCCAGTTGTCTTTGTTTTGCTTCCTTCATCAAGCAGATGATTTAAGGATTGGATTTTCTCGATTTTCTTTGTCAAGAAAGAAAGGAGGGAGGGAGGGAAGGAGGGAAAGAGAGAGAGAAGAGAAAAAGAAAAAACATGAAAAATTTTATCCATTCAATGCTTACAAAGTAAATAAGAAATACAATCTACTTTAAATAAACTGACTGTATGAGGATTCTGATTAAGTGAAAAAGAAATCATACATTAAGGATGACTTGGAACTCTTTAATTACCCAATCCTACGTACATCTAACATAGCATTCAATTCAATTCATACAACTTTTCCCACTTTTTTGTGTGTAACGACAACAGAAATGAACACAGGCCCAAATACATCAATATTTGATGCCTTCCTGTACCTCCTTTAGGACACTGGTACTCCTAAATACCAGACGGCTCATCTCTAGGACCCTGAAAAGCTGGAGAATGTGTCGCATGGAATTTTTTGGAGAAGCATCACTGAGATAATACTTTCTGAAATCACTTCATAAGCTTATTTTACGGAAAACGGAGAGATTTTCATTTGGATATGACACGTCGCTGAATCTTGCATAATACTTCACAGAAACTAGACCACTGTAGATATCAATCAGCTATTCCAGCCACGCGGCTGTGTGCTTTCATGAGCAAGTCCAGGCTACAACTACCTCAGATGGAAATAGAGTTATGGACTCGATATCCAGTCTCGGGTTAAAAAAAGCAGCTGTATTACCAACATTCCTCTTCCTTCACAATATTCAGAAAAGAAGAAACAAATGATGTGATTTTTTAGAGTGTTTCTAGATTCATTTTTTAACCCTCAATTATATGTAACTGATTATATAATTCCATGGATATAATTTTGTTATCTATAAAGGATATACATTGAGCAAGAGAAAATTCAGTCTACAAAAAGGAAAAACGTGCTCAGCAAAGAAAGAACAGTTGAAGACAGTAATCTGAAATAAAGGAGAACTGGGCAAGATACTAGGTTTCAGCCTCTTTACTTTAAAAAATGCCTATGACATTTAGAAAAATAAGTTGACAAGAGAATGAACTACAGTCCGATGTTATTAAATATGTTCTTCAGTAGAAGAATTCCAGGGCAAGCTTTTGAGAGGAAGAGGGCCTAGGGGTGACAGACAGGAAGGCCCCTTGAGGGATGAATCCACCCTGTCATCACACAGATGGGCACAACGAGGCCCAGGCGCCAAACAGACTATACACAGCGCTTCGCTGCCTGCTGTTGACACCAGAGCACGAGGCTCCAGCTCCAAGCTCTCTCTAGACCTTTACTCCATCCTGTCCTCAATCCTTGGGACTTCGAAACAGAACTTCAAAGTATAGTCATTTGAACAATCACTGTATGGGCAAAGAACATTCTCTGCAAATAAAAGTATTAATGGGACTAATCTGTAATATCAATATTACCTTTTGTATTTGCTATTGCCTTTTGCTATTATATCGTCCTGCTCTCTCCTTGAGCTCCATTCAATAAATTTTTTCTAAGTTTTAAATGAATTTGGAATACATCTATATTTATATATACCAATGGCCAATTAAAATTTAGAAGAAATTATGATATAGTTCAGTTCCTAAAGGGGACTAAAGCATGCAGTTCCTGCAAAAAAAAACGATGCATTTGAGAAACTTCATGAGAAAATACGCATGAATTCAGTGAAATATATTTAAGTCCTGTTTAAACTCCATTCTAATCAGAAGGTTCCGGTGTCCTATATGAAAGCATAAACCTGTCACTACGGCTTGGGCATCCTGGCTGATCAGTCCCACCTTGATATGATCTCTCACCATGGAGATTTTTAGAGTTTACCCTGTTACATGTTCCAACCACAAGTACCAAAGGCTGCAACAATTCAAACAGGATATAAACAGTGCACGAAAAGGAACCATGAGGGAAAAGAAGAGAGGCCCGTTATAACCATAATGCAAAAGCACAAGTGTGGTCTGTAGAAACCTCCAGTTTGCTGGGCCCACAACCCCAGATTACGGGCTGCAGTGATAGTTCTTCAGGGGCCTTAGCTGTACCCATCTTTCTAGGCACTGGGTGACTACATACTCTGTTTGTGAGCTGGGTATTTAAAAGGGATACAATTATATCCAGTGTCTTCTCAGAGATAAATGCCCTGAATGCAAACACTTCACAGGAAAATAAATGGATCTCGGGTTTTAATAGGAGCCATTTAAAGTTTCTTATTAGAGGCGCCTGGGTGGCTCAGTCGTTAAGCATCTCCCTTCGGCTCAGGTCATGATCCCAGGGTCCTGGGATGGAGCCCTGCATCGGGCTCCCTGCTCAGCGGGAAGCCTGCTTCTCCCTCTCCCACTCCCCCTGCTTGTGTTCCCTCTCTCGCTGTGTCTCTGTCAAATAAATAAATAAAATCTTAAAAAAAAAAGTAGCTGACATAACAGAGGCACAGGTGAAGATAATTCCTTTTAATTTATACCTTTTCTTCATTATAGACATTGTCTCTTCTTTGGAAAGAATTTAAGTGGGAAGGAGAATGCCTCAGAAAAGAGTAGAACGATCCACACGGCACATCAGTGGATTACTTACAAGGTAGCCTTCCGTGGTTGCGTGTCTTTACTTCCACTGCTCTTTGGATCAACTGAGTTACCTGTCCCACGGGAGGTGCTCGGTAGGGAAGGACTGGGAGAAAAGGAAGTCGGAATGCTACTGGCATTGCGGGCGCGGAATGAGTCATCTGGAAGGAATTCAAGTACAATCAGACATACTGAATGTGCTAAGAAAGATGATAACCTAAGAGAAGAAAGGTTAATGATAGCTGACTTTTTTCTTCTAAAATCCATTTTATTAAGGTGGATTTTATGTACAATAAACTGCACAAATTTAAAGTTTGACGTATGTATACACCCATGAAGCCATCACCACCACCAAGAGTGAACACACCCACTCCTCCCTCCTGCACCCTGGTGACCCCTCCCCCACACTCCAGGCAGTCTACCTCGGGTCACTAAAAATTAGTTCAAATTTTCTAGAATTTTATGTAAATGGAATCATACAGTATGTCTGTCTTCTTTGACTCAGCATAATTATTTTGAGATGCATCCTTGTTGTGTAAATCAATACTTCATTCCCCTTTATTGCTGACTGATGTGCCATTGAATGGATATGCCAAAATTTGTTTATACATTCTCCTGCTGAAAGCCATTTGGATTGTTTCCAGCTTTTGACGATTACAAAGAAAGCTGCTATGAGCAATTGTGTACAAGTCTATGTATGGATATGTGTTTTAATTTCTTACAAATAAAAGCCTAGGAGTGAAATTGCTGGATCCCATAGTAGGTGTATATTTAGCTTCATAAGAAACTGCCAAAAATTCGACCTCAGCCGCAGCAACTTCTTCCTAGAAACATCGCCAGAGGCAAGGGAAGCAAGGGCAAAAATGAACTATTGGTACTTCATTAAGATAAAAAGTTTTTGCACAGCAAAGGAAACAGTCAACAAAACAAAAAGACAACTGACAGAATGGGAGAAGATATTTGCAAATGGCATATCAGATAAAGGGCTAGTATCCAAAATCTATAAAAAACTTATCAAACTCAACACCCAAAGAACAAATAATCCAGTCAAGAAATTAGAAGACATGAACAGATTTCTGCAAAGAAGACATCCAAACAAACACATGAAAAAGTGCTCAACATCACTCGGCATCAGGGAAATACAAATCAAAACCTCAATGAGATATCACCTTACACCAGTCAGAAAGGCTAAAATTAACAAGTCAGGAAATGACAGATGTTGAAGAGGATGTGGAGAAAGGGGAACCCTCTTACACACTGTTGGTGGGAATGCAAGCTGGTGCAGCCACTCTTGAAAACAGTACGGAGGTTCCTCAAAAAGTCAAAAATAGAGCTACCCTATGACCCAGCAATTGCACTACTCGGTATTACCCCAAAGATACAAATGTAGGGATCCGAAGGGGCACATGCACCCCAATGTTTATAGCAGCAATGTCCACAATAGCCAAACTATGGAAAGAGCCTAGATGTCCATCGACAGATGAATGGATAAAGAAGATGTGGTATATATATACAATGGAATATTATGCAGGCATCAAAAAAATGAAATCTTGCCATTTGCAATGATGTGGATGGAACTAGAGGGTATTATGCTAAGCGAAACAAGTCAATCAGAGAAAGACAATTATCATATGATCTCACTGATATGAGGAATTTGAGAAACAAGACAGAGGATCATAGGGGAAGGGAGGGAAAAATAAAACAAGACGAAACCAGACAGGAAGACAAACCATAAGAGACACTTAATCTCAGGAAACAAACTGAGGGTCGCTGGAGGGGAGGGGGGTGGGAGGGATGGAGTGGCTGGGTGATGGACATTGGGGAGGGTATGCGCTATGGTAAGTGCTGTGAATTCTGTAAGACTGATGAATCACAGACCTGTACCCCTGAAACAAATAATAATTATATGTTAAAAAAAAAAAAAAGAAAAAAACTGCCAAATTGTTTCCAAAGTAGTTGTACCATTTTGCATTTCCATGAGCAATGAATAAGCATTCTGGAGAGTTGCTCTATATCCTTACACACACTTGACAGTGTTGACCAATTAGTTCTAAAGATTTCTTTTGTTTATCCTGAATATAAGTCCTTTGTAAGGTATATGTAATATGTCTTACAGTCTGTGTCCTGCCTTTTATTTTGTTCATGCTCTATTTCAAAGAGCAGTTTTAAATTCTGATAAAGTCCAGTATGTTAACTTTTTCTTTTATGGTTTGGGGAAATCTTTGTCTATTCCCAAATCACAAAGACTTCCTTCTGTAATATTTTCTTCAGAAATGTCATAGTTTAAGCTTTTATGCTTAGGTTTATAGTGCATTTTGAGGTAATTTTGTGTGTAGTGTGAGATAAGGATTGAAGGTCACTTTGGTTTGTTTTTGTTTTTTTTTTAAATTTAGATATCCAAAGAACACAAACATAGTGATTTGAGGGGCACATGCACCCCGATGTTTATAGCAGCAATGTCCACAGTAGCCAAACGATGGAAAGAGCTCAGATGTCCATCAACAGATGAATGGATAAAGAAGATGTGGTATATATATACAATGGACTATCAGCCATCAAAAAGAATGAAATCTTGCTGTTTGCAATGACGTGGATGGAACTAGAGGGTATTATGCAGCATCATTTTTTGAAAATACTATCCCATTACCACTGATTTATCCCGGAGTCTTTTGTGGAAACTCAACTGCCTATGTATGTCAGTGTAGACACTCCATCTTGACTACTGGAGCTTTCTAGCAAGTGTTGAGATCAGGCAGTTTAAGCTCTCTAAATTTGGTTTTCTTTTTCAAAATGGTTTTGGCTATCTGCAGTTCTGTGCATTTCAATTTAGATTTTAGAATCAGCTTATACATTTCTACAAAAAGACTACTGGAATTTTGATGAGGATTACATTAAATCTCTGGCTCAATTTAAAAGGAACTGACATCATAACAATGTTAGGTTTTTCCATTCAAAAACATAGTATCTCTCTCCATTTATTTAGGTCTTCTTTAATTTCATTCAGCAATGTTTTGAATTTTTTAGTGTACATAGAATATACATTTTGTTAAATTTATCCCTGAAGACTTAATGTTTTTGAAGTCACTATAAAAAAGTTATTTTTAAAAATAGACTTTATTTTGTAAAAGTTTAGATTTACAGAAAAATTGAGAAGATAATAGAGAATTTTCATCCACCCCCTTAACTCGGCTTCCTGTCCTAACACTTCACTCTAGTATGCTACACTTGTTACAGGGAATGAGCCAGTAATGATACATTATTATTATTATTATTATTATTATTATTATTATTAACCAAAATCCATAGTGCATTCAGATTTCCTTAGTTTTTGCCTAATGTCTGCTTCTGTCTCAGGATCCCATCCAGTGTACAACACTACCTTCATTTGTCGGCTCTCCTGAGCCTTTCTTTGTTTTTGGTGACTTTACCAGTTTTGAGAGGTACTGGCCAAACGTTTTGCAGGATGCCCCCCTATTAGAATTTAGTGGATGCTCGGGGCGCCTGGGTGGCTCAGTTGGTTAAGCGACTGCCTTCGGCTCAGGTCATGATCCTGGAGTCCCGGGATCGAGTCCCACATCGGGCTTCCTGCTCAGCAGAGAGTCTGCTTCTCCCTCTGACCCTCTTTCCCTCTTGTGCTTTCTATCTCTCATTCTCTCCCTCTCTCTCTCTCTCTCAATAATAAATAAATAAAATCTTTAAAAAAAAAAAAGAATTTAGTGGATGCTCTTCTTACTATTAGACTAAGGTTGTAGGTTTGAAGAAGGGTGACAAAGGTAAAGTGTCATTTTTATCACACCATACTAAAGGTACAAACTATGATATATTTTATCATGTTTCATGTATTTTATCCTACTGTTTCATGACAGGTCACTAGAAATGGGTTTGCTTGACTCAAAGACTACTTTTTAATTCTTGATGAACTTTACCAAACTGTTTTCCAAAAGGTTCCATGCATTTTCATACCCACTAATGGATACATTGCTGTTTGTTTCCCTGAATCCTTACTAGCATTCCCTTCGTATTTCCCCCAGTCTGTTGTACCCACATAGCCTTGGATGAATTGAAGACGAGCAAAAGTCACCAAACAATTATTGATGGGTTCATATTAAGTAACAAGTACTCAATTTGACCTTCCAAGCGATAACTCTGACCTTTCATTTCAGCTTTATTTACTCCACTCTTTTACACTCAACTCTGTGCTCCAGACAAACTGGCCCTACTGCTGCTTCCTCAAGACACTGACACATCTTCTTTATGACAGGTACTCTGAACAGGATGTTATTCCATACACTCCTCTGCCCGTCAAAAATCCCAGCATACCTTGGGCTTCATCCCAAATGACATAAATATCTTGAAGCCTGCCTTAAGTCCCAAAGTAAGTAAAATCTCTTCTCTATGTGAACATCTAATATGTTTGTAAAAAGACATTTTGCTCCCTTTTTCTCTTTGTAGATCAGATGTGTAATTGTATAACGACTTTTTCCTCAGTCTGTACTTCATTAAGCAATATACAATAACCTAGAAGAGATTTCATTCAACCAATATTCCCTCTCCCCAAAATAATACTGAATGCCTAAGACAGAATATTTTCCAAATATCTTAATAAAAGATTTACCCTTATAAAATACATTATTTTATTTAAGACTGGATGTTAAGTTTTACGGATCAGTAGATCATACACACACTCTTGATTCTCAAGGTGACTTAAGAACTAGCAAAGTAAGAACTGAAGAAATTAGTGCACAAAATAATTGAAACTTATAAAAAACCATTCTGAATCATGGGGTGCTTGGGTGGCTCAGTCGGTTAAGCATCTGCCTTCGGCTCAGGTCATGATCCCAGGGTCCTGGGATTGAGCCCTGCATCGGGCTGCCTGCTCGGCGGGAAGCCTGCTTCTCCCTCTCCCACTCCCCCTGCTTGTGTTCCCTCTCACTGACTCTCACTCTCTCTGTCAAATACATAAATAAAATCTTAAAAAAAAAAATTCTGAATCAGTATTCTTAATGACTTAAGCAAAGAAATTTCTGGGCAAGAATTGTTAGAAGCTCATGAATAAATATGCTCATTTGAACTCATCTTCAAGAAGCCAGATTGGATCCATGCAAGTCTGAAGAACCACTTATGGATATCAGTAATCATCTGCACCATTTAGCCCCAAGCTGAGATAATTCCAACTGACTTTTCATATATAGTCACAATTCTTAAAGACACTCCATATTATAAAGTTCACAAACCCTGAATGTTGCCTTAGTATCTCCTAAAGAATGCACTGATTTGCTATGATAAAAGTAAACAATAGTTTTATTATTTATAGCCCTCACTTCAAGAATTGTTGATAACTTTAGTTCAAAAGCTTCCTGTTATCCAATTCATTCAAGTTTCTTATGCTACTCATAGTCTATCTTGTAGAACCACTCTATATAGGGTATACAAATGTCAATGCTTTAATATTAGAAAGATTTTCCTGATCTGGCAAATGAGAACATACTGCTTATAGAACAGCCAGTGAGTGTATATCTATTTTTCATGAGAATAAGAACACAGTTAGAGGTAAGAGAAAGACAAAATATTCAAAAACATAACCTGAAAAGGAAATGTGACCAAACTTAAAAAAATTTCAGATCTTTGAGTAGATTTGCTATTCTTTATACTAAAAACTGACATAGATCAATACTATAACTTTTAGCCAATATTCTAAGATAAAAACTTAAAAATATACTTAGAGCCACTAGTAATTTTTAGCAATATATTTTCCCTTATTCATAGTATAAGTCTGTGTTCTATTATATAAGCCAGAATTCAGCAAGCTACCAGTCTGTGAGCCAAGTCTTGCCTGCTGCCTGTTTTTGTAAATAAAACTTTATTGGCATATAACCATACCTATTCATTACATACTGTCTATGGCTGCTTTTTGCTCAACAGCAGAGTTGAATAATTGTGACAGAAACGATTTTGGCCAAAAAAGCTGAAAATATTTACTACCTGGCTCTTTACGGGAAAAGCTTGCTGACCCCTGGTATAAACATTCAAATATATAATACTGTAAATGTCTGGCTGCATATGATCCACCATGAAGCCCTACTGTTTTTAACTTCCTTAAAAATTATTGCAAAAATGTTTAATCTGTGCCCCCAGGAGGCCCTCGGATTATGGAAAAACCTACCCTATTACTGTTCTTTCTCTCTTTCAAAAGCATTGAATGCTGAGTCTTGACAGTGAAAACAAAATGGCATAGTCAAGTATTTTCTTAGTTGCTAGGGAAAAATTTAATTATTTGGGCATTTGATAAAGAGGTAAGGCTGGGGTAAACACTATATCTAGAAATAAAGAAGTATGTCATTTAAAGAAAATAACATTTCATTATACTTAGCAATTTTTGGAAGAGCTCCGATTTCTACTTACCAGTCAGTGAAATCACAGAAGTCTTTCCTAACCCTGAGACAGGTGTATATCCTGCTGTAGAACTTTTACTAGAAAAGAACATGATTTAGCTTAAAATACAAGAATATGCTTCTTTCACTCCAGTCATTAGGCACTTGGTCTTTTCTAATCTTTTTTAATGCTTTCCGCTACTTCTGATGAAGTACATTTGCTATTATTACTTCTCATTTATTGTTTACATTCCATGCCTCCCAACAATTCCTTTGTCTTTAACTTAAAAGCCATTTCCTTAAAGTTTTTCCCTTGGCTCAGCTAAGACAGAGGATATGAGTACAATTTTCCTGGAAATAACTTATCTTCAGTTCTAATCTCTTTTGTCCATCTCAAGATCATCCTGTTGACCAGGAATGCCAGATAGATCTATTGAGAATGTCCAAAAATATAGCTGAAAATCTAGAGTAAGCTATCTTTAGCAAAAGAAAAATGTATTTTTCCCATACCATGTTATTTTTCTCAATAAATACTTTTAAAGACAATTATGTTTACTTAAAATTAGTTTTGTTGATTGGTATGCAGCTGTTAACATACTTTATATGTAAAACAGTTATAACAAATTACAGTCATTGAATTTATGCTGATTCTCTCCTAATCTTAACTGTTTATATTTATAATTCAGTCTGTGGGGCAAAAGGGGAAACCAGACATTCATCTATTGTAAGAAGAACTGTTGGGATCTCTTTACATAGACACATGCCGATGGCCTCTCTATATAGAAAGAAACAGTCTCAACAGCATGTGGATGTCCACATCCACTTAGCAAATGGGGCATGTCCACACCCACTTAGAGGCTGAGTGGCGTATGTGATAGAGCACCACCTCCCTCATAAAACAGTACATGGATCCCATGATGTCATTATACAGCACCATGGCGGTAGTTTTTCTAGAATGCCAGAATACCTGTTCTTATACAAATAGGTAGACAACAGGTTTTTTCATAGAGAATCTTACAGAAAAAAACTTACAATTTATTGACTTATACAAAACCCAAAATTAATCCTGATTTCACATAAAGTGGTAACTATAAAATAAAAATTGGATTAAAACATGAATAGCTGACAGATCATACCTAGGACACTTGTCTAAGTTGCCATATTTTGCATGAAAAGCTTGATTATTAAAAGACTGGCTTCGAATCAGTTTGGATTTCTTGATTTCTTTGCCTGGAGTAATAAGCAGAAGGAAAATGCAGCTGTTCAGTTCAGCCTTAGTAGCGCCAACCCCGTCCCCTTGTTAACCCGAACCCCACTTTCATTAGGCACAAATGTGTACAGCTTCCTTTCCTTAGTTTGAGCTAACTGGACTATCTCTTACTCCTACTGCCCATCAAGAACTCCTGAAATAATGAAATGATAAAAGATAAAAGGCATTTTAGAATTTCATCTCATGGAGCAACTTTCCCTGTAATTAATTTTTAGAAAAGGGGAAAAGGAGACATAAAAAGAAGTTGTTTCTTACTTGTTGATGGGGTGCTTGTTCCAGAAGGTCCAGGAACAGAAATAGGGATGCTCTTAGGCAGAGTTGTTGGTGTCTTAGTGTCTCTACCTAAAACAAACTCTGTTTTAAGTTCTGTAACTTCCTCTGAGCTCCTAATCTCCATAAACACACAAGACAACACGGAGAACATGAGTCCCTGTCCCTAGCTAAGCGGCATGCTCTTTCCCAAATATTCTTACTTTATATATTTACATATTTCAAACTTCACTATTCAGTGACCAATTTCACAGTCTTACTGCTGTTACCAGACTTTAAGTTTTCCTTTGAAGAATATGAACCTCCACACTGACTTGCACCATTTTATTCATGTATTCCTAAGTCAGTACCACATGAAACAGCCAATTATTGAAAACAACTTTTTAAAAAAATTTTTTATTATGTTATGTTACTCACCATACAGTATATCATTAGTTTTTGATGTAGTGTTCCATGATTCATTGTTTGCATAAACGAATTTTAGAAAATGAAAGAAAGAAAAGCAATTTCCCATATCAAATCTGAAAATCAGCATGGGCTTTCAGAATGCCAGGATGCAACATTAATTGTATGACTTAGTGGTGAAGACACAGGAAAACCACTTACGTTTCTTTTCAAAGGTTTTATCACTCATGGGCCTCCCATCATTCTGTTGCTTCTCTTTCTCTAATTGTTCCTATTATGAAAACAGTATGTTAGCATTAAAGGTAAGCATAGATTTAGAAAACTCTTCTAATAAGAAATTATTCTAAGCTTTACAGATACAAACACAGTTCACAAAACTGCCTTGGAAAAGAATTATTTTTTCCAAGTTACTGTCAAAAGAAGTCAAGGTTCTTTCAGATTTGTGTTCTTTTAACATCTACAGAACTGTGCCCTTGGGGGTTGTCAAGCTAAAACGATGAGTGTAGTATCATTGTTGTAATGAGCATTTATATTCTAGACAACATTCTAGAAGACATTTGCCAATTCTCACTGGCAAAATATTTGTTACTATTAGTCATTTCCATTTCTGATTGGTAAGTGGCAAAGTAATATTTTTCTTCAAAAGGACTGAGAGAAAAAGAAATGGTCTTTTGGATATTTTTAAATGTTTCATTGAAGTATAACATACATTAAGTGCATAGCTCAATGAATTTTCCCAAAACGAATACACCTATATAACCAGCTTCCAGATCCAGAAACAAAATGTTACCAAAACTCAAAGGAGTCCTTTATCCCAAAAAACAGAACAAGTAGGCAAGAAAATCATAAACATACCAAGTTCTGAGCAAAATTAGCATAACTGACACATCTAAAACACTACACTCAGGGTGCCTGGCTGGCTCAGTAGAGCATGCCAGGATCATGAGTTCAAGACCCACGTTGGTCATGGAGCCTACTTAAAATTTAAAAACAAAAAACCCCACTACATTTGACAACTGGAGGACACACATTCTATTTAGTTGCATATGTAAAGAAAAACAGGGAGAAAATAGACAACAGATAAAAAAAATTTCCATATAGAATTGGTCTGCATAAAAAAAGAACCAAATGGAATCTCTAACACTGAAAATAAAACATGTAAAACTGAAAATTAAAATATCATTAAGTGGGCTCACAAGTAGTGTTATCTATTTTGTCCACCTTTTCCTCTATTATCTTGGTCATGTTGTCTTAAAGTTCTTTTCTGCTAACTCTAATACCAGTATCATCTGTGGGTTTTTTCTATTACCTGATTTTTGTCTTGGGTTTAGGTCACTGAGTCCTAAAAATTTTTAAAGCCTGCTTATGCTCTACAACCTCTATCCTGAACTTTGATCTTTGTCTCAGAAGGCTGCAAAAGCAATGTGATTGCTTTTCAGAAGATTTCCACTTAAGTGTTTAATCTCACAGTACAATTCTCCACAGAGAGACAGAACATATAAAGAAGAAATAAATGGGAATTTGAGAACTGAAAAATACAGCACTGGGAATAAAAACACTGGATAAGCTCAGAAGCTGAACTGGGGAGGACAGGAAAGAGTCAGTGACATTGAAGACGGATCAACAGAAATTATTCACTCTGAGTCACAAAGTTTAAGAAAAAAAAAAAAGAACAAAACCTCACGGACCTGTGGGGCAATATCAAAAGATCTTACATGTGTAATTGAAGACCCAGAAGTAGAAGAGTGAACACATATTTATTTTTTAAAAGATTTATTTTAGAGAGAGCATGCACACACCTGTGTGCAAGTGGGGGGAGGGGAAGGGGGAGAGAATCTTCAAGCAGACTCCTCACTGCACCTGGAGCCCGACACAGGGCTCGATCTCACAACACTGAAATCATGACCTGAGCTGAAATCAAGAGTTGGATGCTCAACTGACTGAGCCACCCAAGCGCCCTGAAGAATGAACACAAATTTAAATAAATAGTGGTTCAAACCTTCTCAAATTTGGGAAATAATACATGTTTACAGATTCAGGAAGCTAAGCAAATCCAAAAACAGATAAATTTGAAGTCAATTATGCCTAAACACATCAAAAGCAAACTGCTAAAAACAAGGATAAAAGAAAAAAATCTTCGAAGTAGCCAGAGAAAAGCAACATTACACACAGAACAATAATTTGAATGAAAGCTAGTATTTTATCAGATGCTCTGGAGACCAGAACACACATCTATAAAGTACAGTAAGAAAAAGGCTATCAACCCAGAATTCCCTATCTAGTGAAAATATCCTTCAGGGACAAAGGCAGATAACACTATATTTCAGATTAGGGAAAACTAAGAAAATATGTCACAAAATACTACATCCCAAAGAACAACTAAAGACAATTCTTCAGGCTGAAGGGAAAAAAATAAATAAATAACAGAGGGACGTTTGGATCCTGAGCAATGAAAGAAAGTACTAGAAATGGTAAAAATAAAGTGAACACAGAAGTTCACTCTCTTAAATTCTTCAAAGGTACATATCACAACTTAGAGCAAAGTTTAGAATCAGTTGTCATGAGACAACTGACTGGTGGGGATTTCAATACAGATATAATTCACATAAAAATTTTAACATAAAGAAAGAGTAGAGAGATCCGCATCATTATTAAATGAAGTGTATCGTACAACATTAATAATAGGTAGTCTTTGAAAGCTTAAGTATATTGTAACCTCTAGAGAAACGACCAAAAAACAATTCTGAAAGGGAGAGAGAGAGAGAAAGAGAGAGAGAAGGGGAAAGAGAGAAAGAACACCAGCCACTAAGATAAGAATGAAAACAGGGGTTGTCACCTGGGTCTGATATACATTAGAAGAATGTAAGAATACAAACAACTTTATGGCAACAAATTTGACAGCTTAGATGACAGAGAATTTTGGGTGTGGGAAGCAACTTATCAAATTTACAAAAGAAGAAATAGAAAATCTAAACAGTTTTATATCTATTAAAGTAGTTGAATCAATTATCAAAATCCTTTCTAAAATGAATATTTTGCGGGGCACCTGGGTGGCTCAGTCATTAAGCATCTGCCTTCGGCTCAGATCATGATCCCAGGGTCCTGGGATCGGGCCCAGGATCAGGCTCCCTGCTCCGCAGGATGCCTGCTTCTCCCTCTCCCACTCCCCCTGCTTGTGTTCCCTCTCTGGCTGTGTCTCTCTGTCAAATAAATAAATAAAATATTTAAACAAAATAAAATAAAATGAACACTTTGGGCCTTGATTGTTTCACTAGTGAATTCTATCAAACGCTCAAAGAAAAAATAAGACCAATTTTATACATACTCCACCAGAAAACAGAGGAAGTGGTAATACTACACATTTCATTTTATAAGGCCAGACTAACTCTAATACCAAATTTAAAAGACCCCAAAAATGACAAAAAAGGAAATTATAGGCCAGTTTCACTATGAATATAGATGAATATTAAAAATTAGCCAAGAATCCAACAAAAGAGAAAAGGACAACATACCATCACCAGGTAGAGTTTATCCCTAAAATATAAGATTGATTTAAGCATTGAAAAGATCAATGTAATTCAGTGTTTTAACAAGATGAAGTAGAAAAAACAAATATCACTTTGAAATATGCAGAAAGAGCATTTGACAAAGTTCAATAATCATTCATAAAAACTCTCAGCAGACTAGGAATAGGAGGGAATTTCCACAATTTGATAAAGCGCACCCACATAAAACCTCTTGGTAATATCATACTTAATGGTGAAAGATTGAGCTGTTTCCCCCTAAAATCAGTAAAATGACAAGGATGATGCTTCCATCACTTTTATTAAACTGGAAGTGTTTTATTATACTGGAAGTCCTAGATCTTGCAACTAGACATAAGAAATAAAAGGCATAAACACTAAATAGGAAGAAGTAATCTTGCTATACTTAAAGAGTATGTAATAGCTCATGTAGAAAATCCTATTAAATCTAAGCAACAACTCTAGAACAAATACAAGACTAATATACAGAAATCAACAGTAACTGACAGCAGCAATAAAATTCTAGAAAGTAAAATTAAAAATTATAATTCCATTTATAATAATTCCCCAAACCATAATATACCTAAAAATAATCTAACAAAAGACTTTCTTAACTCTACACTTAACACTACCAAAATTATGTAGAAAAAAGTAAAGAAGATTAAACAAATGGAGTGGTAGACAATGTTCATGGACTAAAAAATTCTTTAAGATGGCAATTATCCAAATTGATCAATCCTAATTAACACACAACCTAACAAAAATTCCAGCAAATTTTTTATGTAAATGGACAACTGATTCTAAACTCTATATCAAAATGAAAAGGACCTAGACTGGCCAAAGCGATTTAAAAAAGAACAAAGTTGAAAAACTTAACTGACCTGATTTCAAGAATTACTGTAATGTTACTATGATAAAGACAGTTTGGAATTGCCAAAGAGATAAACGTATAAATCAGTGGAACAGAATAAGGAGTCAAGAAATAAACACATACATATATGGACAATTTTTTTTAAAGATGCTAATGCAATTGAATAAAAGAAGTTTTCAACAAATGATGCCAGAATAATTGAATATTCAAATGAAAAAACAATATAAAACTAATTGAAATGGATCACAGACCTAACTGCAAAACCTAAAACTAAAATTTCTAGAAGAAAACATAGGAAAAAGTCTTTGTAATTTTGGGATAGACAAGGGATTCTTGTAACAAACAAGCATAAACAAAAGAGAAAATACTGTTAAGTCGAACCTCATCAAAATTAAAAAGTGCTCTTCAAAAGACACCATTAAGTGAAAGATAAGCCACAAACTCCAAGAGAATACTCATAAAATGTGTATCTGACAAAGAAGTAGTATTCAGAGTATATAAAGGACCCTTACATCTCAACAATTGAAGAAAAACAATCCACTTTAAAATCTGAAAACAGGGGCACTTGGGTGCCTCAATCAGTTAAACATCTGCCTTCGGCATGTCGTGATCCCAGCTCAGGCTACCTGCTCGGTGAGGAGCCTGCTTCTCCCTCTCCCCCTGCTCATGCTTTCTCTCTATCTCTCTCAGATAACGAAATAAAATCTTTTTTAAAAATTTAATAAAAATCTGAAAACAGACTTCATCAAATAAGAGATAAAGATGACCAATAAGCAAACAAAAAGATGTTCAATATCATTAGGCATTAGGGATATACAATTTGAAAGCCCGATGAGACACGATTACATATTCACCCTATCAAGCTAAGAGGATACGGGTTAACTGAAGCCCTCCCCCACAGCCGACGGGTATGTAAAATGGCACAGTTTTTGTTTGTTTTTAAGTCAAGCATGCCCTACCATATGATCCAGCCATTACATTCCTAGGTATTTCCCCAAAAGAAAAGAAAGCATATGTCCATCCAAAGACTTCTTTATAAATGGTCATAGCAGCTTTATTTCTTTTTTTTTAATTTTTTTGTTGTTATGTTAATCACCATACATTACATCATTAGTTTTTGATGTAGTGTTCCATGATTGTTTGTGCATAACACCCAGTGCTCCATGCAGAATGTGCCCTCTTTAATACCCATCACCAGGCTAACCCATCCCCCCACCCTAGAACCCTCAGTTTGGTTTTCAGAGTCCATCATCTCTCATGGTTCGTCTCCCCCTCTGATTTCCCCCCCTTCATTCTTCCCCTCCTGCTATCTTCTTTTTTTTTTTTCTTAACATATATTGCATTATTTGTTTCAGAGGTACAGATCTGTGATTCAACAGTCTTGCACAATCCACAGCGCTCACCATAGCACATACCCTCCCCAATGTTTATCACCCAGCCACCCCATCCCTCCCACCCCCCCACCACTCCAGCATCCCTCAGTTTGTTTCCTGAGATTAAGAATTCCTCATATCAGTGAGGTCATATGATACATGTCTTTCTCTGACTGACTTATTTCACTCAGCATAACACCCTCCAGTTCCATCCACGTCGTTGCAAATGGCAAGATCTCACTCCTTTTGATGGCTGCATAATATTCCATTGTGTATATATACCACATCTTCTTTATCTATTCATCTGTCGATGGACATCTTGGCTCTTTCCACAGTTTGGCTATTAGAAATAGAGCTAATAGCAGCTTTATTTCTAACATCCCCAAACTAGAAGTAACCCAAGTGCTCATTAAGGGGTGGGTAAACAAACTGTGGTATGTCTGTAATATGGAATACGACTCAGAAATAAAAAGGAATGATCTATTGATATATACAACAGCACGGATGAATGTCAAAACAATTATGGTGGTTGAAAGAAGCATTAGCAGAAAATATTATATATGAACAAATTTATATAAATTCTAGTTGCAAGCTAATTTATGGTGATAGAAACTAGATTAGGGGTCTTTGGGGACCAGAGTAGAAGACAGGGATTACAAAGGGGCACAAGGAAACTTCTGAGGGGATGGAAATGTTTGGCATTGTGATTGTAGGTTCACGGATTATCCATATGTCAAAATCCATCAAACTGAATACTTTATATATATATGCAGTTAATTGTATGCCAATTATATACGTCAATAAAGTAGTTGTGGTTTTTTTGTTTTGTTTTGTTTTTAAAGATTTTATTTATTTTTTGACAGTGAGACAGAGAGACGGGGAACACAAGCAGGGGGAGTGGGAGAGGGAGAAGCAGGCTTCCGGCTGAGCAGGGAGCCTGATGCAGGGCTCGCTCCCAGGACCCTGGGATCAGGACCTGAGCCGAAGGCAGACGCTTAATGACTGAACCACCCAGGCGCCCCAAAGTTAGTTGTTTTTTGAAAGGCTCTCACATGTAATTTTCCTTCTAGTTCATAAAAGAGATTTCAAAAGATCAGGACTCTTCTTTAACCATTTAGGAAGAAAAACAGCAGTGTGAAATTGAAGGAAATGACTAATAAGTAATTCATAACAAAGCCCAGCTAATACCGGTCAGGAATAAGTATGTATGTGTGCATGCGAAAACAACGTACCATTTCCATAAGAAGTAGTTCTTCTCTTTCTTTCTCTTGATCCAACAAATCTTTTTCATAAAACTTTTTCTGAAACTAAGTTTAAAGTTTAAAATGAAATTATGAGACATTATGATGAGCTTCTGCCAATTTTAAAATATTCTTTCAGCAAAAGGTAAGGTGTGTGCTTACCGCATCCATGGACATTTCCATTCTGTCCAGCTCTAACACGGTCTGTAAGCAAAGTTGTGAAAATTATTCAGCAGTAATTAAATTAAACCAACCAATCATTTCTCAAAAAGACTCCCCTTCCAGAGGGAGGTTCAAAGAGGAGATTTCTCTACTCTGTGGAAGGCTAAATTAGAAAATCTCTGAAGTTCTTCCCAACTTTACTCTGTATTTTTAACCAGCCTCTGAAGGCCAGGATCCATTTGCTCTTGTAGAAGACTTTGACCTTAAGAAGAGCAAGTCTCCAGGGATACTGTGAACACACTAAACACACACAAACTAACAAACTTCTAATAACCCCCAGGGCCACTTTTCTCTGAATTTTCAGAAATACAAGATAATTTTTGAATTTTTTAAAAAGATTTTTTATTTATTTATTTGACAGGGAGAGAGACAGCGAGAGAGGGAACACAAGCAGGGGGAGTGGAAGAGGGAGAAGCAGGTTTCCCACTGAGCAGGGAGCCCGATGTGGGCTCGATCCCAGGACCCTGGGATCATGACCTGAGCCAAAGGCAGATGCTTAACCAACTGAGCCACCCGGGCGCCCCAATAATTTTTGAATTTTTAAAAAAAACTTTTAGCTAACTATAGATGAAGCAAACTCTCATTTGGCTTAAAATCCTTAATTCCTTTCCACAGAAACTTTTGACCATTATGACATTCTAACCATTAAGAAAGACTTTGCCCTGAAAGTATTTCTTGATTTAGTATTTCTCTTTTGGAACACATTAGTCTGAAACAAATTGTTTCAATCAAACAACGGTCCATCTAACCCAGGATTCTGACTCCGATAGAGGATAGTACTTCTCTCCAGGAGTAACTCTGATGGCCCAAATAAAGTCCATTTATATATTCTTATGCCCAAAGCTAGCCATTGCAAATGTAATATTTATTTGAAGCCTTATTTTTATGCTGAAATTTCTGAAAATATTACAGTTTATGCCATGAAATGTCCCTTTTAAATACAATTACTTCCCATCTTAAAAAACTGACTAAATCCATGCCACTTTTATCCCGAAGCTCTGTATAGCTTCCTCAGAGGTTCCCATGCCAAGATTTCAGTTTGATAAACCTTAGACTAAAGAATTTTCATGGGATTGGTTGACTTCCTCATGTGACATATACCTAAAGAGCTCTAGTCCAGAATAACCCATTGTAGATTAATAATCCACTAATTATATCATTTTTGTCCCTACTTATATGGTCAGTTTATCTTTTGAGTTAATAAATTCTTAAAAAAAGTAACTAACCCTCTTATGTTACTTATTACTTTGAAAGTTAACTCTATTGCCTAAACTTTTGTAATTAAATGGTAAGGACAGAAATATCTGGTATAAACAAATACATGTAATATATTTTATTTATATATATCATATATATATAAACATATTACATACTATAATAAAAAACATATTATATACTATATATTCATATATATTATATATTATTATAATATATACATATATATTACATATTACATATCATATATATAGCATGTAATACGTTTTTAGATGTAGGCGCATGTTCAGACTCTGGGTATTTCTGGTTAGTTTAGTTGGCAAAAGAGGAATTCACATTTCAGTAAAACAATAGTATACTAATTAATAGTAAATTGTCAAATCACTTTATTAAAAAGTTCCTTGTGTGACATCTGGCAATGATCTCTAGAAACAAAAGGAAAAAAACATCAAAGGATTCTTTTTTTTCCTCATCACTGATGCTAAGTTAAAGACATTAATAAATTAATTCCTCTCATTACAAATCAGGAAGTTGAAGTTCACATTTAGATTCATAAAAGTAGCCACTTTAATTCAACTTAATCTTATAAAAATATTAGTTACACATTCAGCAAAAAGTTTTTGAAGACTATAAGGTATTTTCAGGTTTGACTTCACTAACCCAAATTTTTACTCTTTTAGTTTCTAACATCCCCAAACAATCCATATAAGATCCCGGGCTAAAACAAAACAAACAAAAAACCCATAAGACACGATGTTACATTACTGAAAAAGGAACGCACTCAGGGTAAGAGATCTATATTCTGGCCCCAGCTCTGCCACTTGCTAATATGACCTCAAGCAGACATTTACTATCTCTAGTCCTAGAGCTTTTGAAGCAAAAATCAAACAGATCACGAAGGCCCTTCCAGGGCTAAATTTCTATCAAGTGTGCCTTCCCCAATTTTACCAACGAAGTTTTCCTGGATTATAATCCCTTATAAATCAAGTCTGGTGGATGAAGCATTTGGTTGGCCAGTATTTATTAAGTACCTCAAATGTCCCAAGCTCTCTCTCATGGCGCTTGTATTACTAGTAATAGAAGTTGGGTGTCTGAGTGCCCTTTGGAAGGAACTTTACCAGCTGTAGCACACATCAGCCAAGTCAGTTACTAATACCACTCTAGCAACGATGTAAGTATTTTAACATATTGCTATCCTGTCAAGCTAAAACAGGGAAGTGAAGATTGACACTCTCTTCATGCAAGACATGCAGACATGGTGGTAAGAGTGATACTTACTCTTTTTACAATAGCCAGAACATCCTTATCTTTCTCTTGACAGAGGAGTTTCCTCACACACATTTCCAACTGCTGAAGTAGATGCTTATCTGCAGGGATCTTCAGGGTAGATTTCACTTTGGGCAACAAGTAGCAAAGTTTCATTCTATAATAAATTAAATAGTACTTGCTTTTGAATGCACTTAATAACTAAGAATAATAGTAACATGAAGAAATTGAAAGAAAATTCAAACTCCGGATAGCGTGGGAGTTTATTTATCATGTAGCAAATGTTTACGGAGTGCCTGCGATGAGTCAAAGCATGCGTTATTCTGGGTGCGGAGATACAACTGTGAATGAAACCAACAAATCCTCTGCTCTCGTGGAGCTTACACTCTAGTATGGGGTAGGGAAGAAAGAATACGGAAATAAGTAAAATGTCTATCAGACAGTGCTAAGTGCTGTGGAGAAAAAGCAAGCAGGGAAAGATGAGGGAGTAGCAGAGGAGGGGTGTTACAATTTTAAAACACGTGGTCATAGAGGGTTTCAGTGAAGGTTTCACTGAAAAGATATTATTTAAGCAAAGCCTTAAAGAAAATGAGGAAATAAGTAATGTGAACATCTGGAGAAGAGCATTACAGGCAGGGGCCTGCAGTAGCGCAAATGCCGTCTAGGGGAAGCTTGCCTTGGCTGTCACCCCCAATTGGCCCAAACTGGCAACAGGAGGCCAGCTTGTTCAGGGCCTTGTAGGCCACTGCATGGAGCCTGGCTTTTCCTTTGAGCACCATAAGAAGCCATGGAGAATTTTGCACAGAGGAGTGAAGTGATCTGACTTAACGTGTTGGAAGAGTCATCCGACTACTGGTCTGAGAGGAGACTGTAGATGGTCTGGGACAGAGGGAAACAATAGGGAGGCTCTAGTAGTAATTCAGGCGGGAGAGGGTGGCCACCTGAATGAGCGTGGGAGCAGTCAGGTGGCGAAAAGTGGTTGGACTCACTATATTTGCAAGCAGCAGGATGTGCTGAGGGACTGTAGCTGGAGTGGCAGAAAGGGCGTAAGGTTTTGACCTGAGCAGGTAGCAAGATGCAGTGGTTATTGGCTCAGATGGAGACCACTGCAGAAGGAGCAAGGGTGGGTGTGGGTGCAGGAGACGGGGATTTACTTTTGGACAGACTGAGTCTGAGGTGCTTGTGGGACATGCCATGGAAATGCTCAGTGGGCAGCTAGCTCAACGTGGCTCCCGTCCAGGACGGACGTCCATGCTGGAGACATATCATCAGGAATCTTCAGCACATAGATGATATGCAAGCCATGAGACTGGACAGATCACCGGGGCCGTATGTGCAGTTTGAGAAGAAAAGATGAAAGGACAGTGTAGGCACCATCCCAGGCGATACTGCGTGGATAAGGAAACAACACGCAGACTGAAGAATGCCAGAGAGGGGAGAGGCAATCCAGGGAAGAACAGAAAAGACAGTGCAGAAAATGCTCTTTTTCGCTAAGCTACTTCTCTACCACTCTGCCAGGGCGGGTTTTAGAGAGGGATGCTAGGCGGTTGCTTATGTTTTGGCTGCTGTATTCATTCATTCATCTGAGTGCTCTCCAGATACTATTTTTTTACTCCTATGCCAAACCTGAGACAACCAAGTCCCATTCCTAGAGTTTCCAGGATGCTTTGTCAGCTAAGCCCACAGTTGAGGATTCTTCATACACCATAAGATTTGCTTTTTATTCAAGTGAAAAGGCGAAAGAGGCTCTTCTCCAGAATTTTCAGCTCCGTCCATAGCAATAATGGTCTCAAACTCATTCAGAGCTCACAACGGATCCTGGGGATGCTTTCTCTAAATTAAGAGGCCCCAGTTGCCCCAAACAAAATTTTTTTGCATTTTCCTTTCAATACCAGTAGTCTTTCCAGCCTTCATATTATCTAGACTCAGTGAATTCAAATTTTAAACATTCACTTAAGGAAAAACAAAAACAACAGGCTATGCATACGTCATTCTTCATAACTCAAGGCAGGTCTAGAAAACCTATACTCAACAAAAGGTACAGAAAGCCATAGTGCTGATTTATCTCTGTGAGAATCCTGGGCCCATGAGATTATAAAGATTTTAAGATTAGGTATCTCACCTTCCTGGTAATCTAAATTCTTTACATACATTATCTCAGGTATTTATCCGTCAGAACACCCTACGAATTGGGTAACTAAGGAAATCAGTGTGCAGAGAGATCATGTAACTTGCCCAAAGACATACAGCCAGTAGAGAGGTGGACATCAGCTCAGGTGGTGTGGCTCCAGAAACCTTCCTCCTAACTGCATGATCCCACCACTCTTGCCTGTGATGGCTTTCATTCTATCTACACATCTCTATTCAGTTGGGCAAACACTTTTGTATCCAAAAGCTAATTAGTATGTGGTGTTGCTGGACCCATTTGTTGGGCTGGCAGCGGCCCAGGCAGAAGAGTGGAAACCAAGACAAATTGCTATGCAATGATCTCTTACCCCCCAAAATAACCAATCTTCATGGAGCAATGTTCAATTAATCTTCATTTCGTTTTTGAATTGGCAGGTTGCTTTCTCTTAGGGCCAGTACTATGCTTTTAAGTCATATTGACCTGGGTAAAGATGATTTCATTTCCTTTCAAATAATTTTGGTCAACTGCTTGGTAAGTGATAGTTCATCACACTGGGAGCTGCTTTTCTAGACTCACAACTTTAATTTGCAAAATGTTAACAACGTAGTTAGATTCATTAGTGATTTACCACAGATAAGATGCACAAAATACTGAGGCCAGTGCAGTAGCATTTTCTGTATTTTCTTACACTGAAAATATAAAACAAAAACCAATCTCCTGATTGCCCCTAAAAATGGACAGAACTTCGCCAAGCCAACTTTGAGTTATTTTTTCTTTAGTCTTAGAAGATACATAAATTAAGAATATCTACTCAACCTTCTCCTGATGTCAATGTGTGTATCCAAGTGTCAGGAGAAGCCTGCCAGTCTGGCTTTGACTACTGCCCCCTCGACCCATTAAACAAAAGACTGAGGACAGTTAAAAAAAGATTATGCTTCCAACTCCTATTGAGGCTCATTAACTAGGACTACTAGGAATTTCAAAGTAAGTATAAATTATTTACTTGTCTTTTTAAACTGACTATGAAAAAGATTTTGCATGTTCATTATATTAGATAAGTAGATATATTATAGAAGATAAATTTAAAAGTACAACTTTTTCAAGTATTTTCTTGGACTGGTACCATACCTCACATTTGCCACAGGATCATGTGTCAGTTCGATAGCAGGTAGAAAGAAATATTTACAGAAAAATGATTTGGAAAAGATCTCTATAATAAATTCACAGGTATCCAAAAATCGAAGTCTATTCCAATAACTTTTTCCTTGGCCCAGTTCTAGAAACAACAATAACAAAAAAGAGAAGTTTAATTTTTCCTACACGAAATTATATGTGACAAAATCAAACACACAAAATCCATGACAAGTTTCTTTGTATCCACAATTTGTTTAGCAAATACAAGAGGTAAGAGAAAAAAATCGTATTATACACTCCAGATTTGTAGACTTCCAAAATAATGACATCTCAAAAACCAGAAAAAAAATGTAATTTTTAAGTACTGAATATATAAACTATTTTTGATCACCCATTATGTGCTGCGTACTTTAAACGTATTATCACATTTAATCCTGAAAAGCAATCCAATGGGATAAGCATAGATTTATCCTCCTGAGAGGAGATTCAGAGGTTAAAGTCACAGAGCTGGTTGGTGCAGAGTTGGAATTCAATGCAAGTTTGTATAATTTCAAACTTTGAAGTTATATTTGATCAATCAAATTAACTGTTTTCTTTGTCTCATTTTCATAAGAATGCCTTGAAGTGGTTTAAGTCATATGTAAACACTGTATTACTGACAATAATTCAGGTTAACATTTAAAGGATTATTTTCTCCCTTATTACACAAATGTTCAAAAGCAAAATTCTCAATATTTAAAACCAAACAGAATCTCGTTACAAAATAAAACTGATTCTAAATGTGCGGTCCTATCACTAAAAAATGAAAATTAAATTAAAACAGAGTAAAAAAGAGAAAGATTAAAGTATACCGAGCATAGTTTTTCTTAAATAGAATTTTATATAACTCCAATTTTTTGAAAAGTGGTGATCCATACTTAAAATGGTAAACTCCAATAACTAGAAAATCCCATTACCTACCTATGCTGGAAAACAGTTTAATAAAAACATTAAGACATTATGGTCAAAGCAAGTATACAGTAATTAAAAAGGATATATAAGTGTGTGCCACTATTTCTAGAATTAACACTCCAACTAAAGGTTTTTACCTTGATTTTAGCCCTTAGTAAATTAAATTTGCATTTGTTAATTGACTTAATTTTTTTGAAGACATTATGAACCACCTAAGCTTACCAGATTCATATTTATGTGTACTGTCAACTCTACTCAAGGAAACAAACCAAAAACCCCCTCATTCTGTTAATATTTAAAATAAAAACATAAAATAAATGACTACATTCATGAATATTCTACTCATATTTTAGCTCCAAATGCTATTTCATCAGGGTAGAAACTAGACTTTCAACATAAATATACATTATTTTAATTTCTCAAGTGTAGAAACTCACTAAAGGAGGCCCAGACCAATTATTACTTCCATTCATCAGAGACTGATCCTGTCATATAGATTTCTAAAACCAAAAAAAAATTAACCTACAAAACTCAAAGACAAACACACTCCAGATATTTACCAATGTCAGCTTAACTATTCATGGCAAAATGATAAAGTCAGTCAGAGCTAACTAAGACCAGTTTACTTTCTCTTTTTCAAAATGAGAGGCAATGATTACTTACGTTCAATTAATTTTTGAATGACCTCATGTCTCTGTTCTTGTTTACGATTATAACGCAGAAAAATGCATAGAGTTCGTGAAGCTGCCTTTTGAACAGGCAAGACATTCTTAAAGAAATAGGTAAGAAAGACAATTAAATCAATCTAATAGCATAATTTTGCTCCACAAATCAATTTTCAGTTTTGGCTAAAAGCAAGAGCAATGTTGTCTGCCTCTCAAATCACCGTGTTAGTGTCTTCACAATTTAATGTTAATATCATTCAGGCAAATCAACTAAAGTATCACATTACAAAGTTAATGTAGTTTGGCACAGTCATTTTCAAATCATCCAGATCTGATTTATATTTGACTATCCTTTCTCTGCCACTTCAGCTTAAGTGACATTCTCCCCCAATACATCTCAGCCACCCATTCTCTTAGCCATTCCCTGGACCTTGTCATTCATTTATTCAACACCTATTTGCAAGAACATGCCCTGTGTCAGATACATCACCAAAACTGTGCCACTTCTAAAATAGAAACCTAGAGATCCCATGATCAGGTATACTTTTCAATCGTTCTGGTTTGCTTCTGCCTCTTCTACCTCAGTGTCATCCATTGAGATCCCTGGTCCATACCACAGATAAAACTTAAAATCCAAGGGACACCACGTCAGTAACTCTTACTAGTGTTCTATATACTCCTTTGTCTTTTGAATTTGTCACACCACTGGGCACAATTAATTAATTTTAAATGAATTCAATCATCTACTTTCCTGGGTTTGGGTTCAAATTACATATTAGAGAAAAATCTCTCAACCAGATATACTGTGTCCAGTATAAAATTCATGTTCACCATCTTGGCTTACATATAAATACTATAATATTTAATTCTTGAAGATTCAGAGTATTATAGTGCTATTAGAGGATCCTTGAAATTCAAGTAAAATAAAACTTTACATTGCTGGGAGTGTGCTGCCAGCTACCTCCTCTCGTGTTTTATACAAGCTATTTCTCACTATTGAGTATTATTCTGTGCATTTTTAATGTGTTAAATATAAAAGGAGAATATTCACTATGAATTAGAACAGAAAGTTTAAGAGATGTGCATAAACAGAAACATCACAGGAATTTTAAACACTAAATTTTAGATAAATGAACTAAATAAAAACATGTTACTCTTTTCTTTCATTTTGTGTACTCTAACAGAATTTCTAATGCATAAATACTAGTCATATGAAAATATGTATATTTTGGTTTTTGGTGCTATTGTAAATGGAATCGATTCTCTAATTTCTCTTTCTACACTTGCATTGCTAGTGTATAAAAAAGCAACTGATATCTGTGCACTGATTTTTTTTTTTTAAAAGATTTTATTTATTTATTTGAGAGAGCAAGAGAGCAAGAGAGTGAGAGAGAGAGCACAAGAGGGGCTGGGTCAGAGGGAAAAGCAGACTCCCTGTCGAGCAAGGAGCCTGATGCAGGACTCGATCCTGGGACTCCAGGATCATGACCTGAGCCGAAGGCAGTCGCTTAACCAACTGAGCCACCCAGGCGCC